GAGGGAACGAAGTATTATTGGGGTGGGAAGGAGGGAAGCGAAGTATTATTGGGGTGGCAAGGAGGGAAGCGAAGTATTATTGGGGTGGCAAGGAGGGAAGCGAAGGATTATTGGGGTGGGAAGGAGGGAAGAGAAGTATTATTGGGGTGGGAGGAGGGAAGCGAAGGATTATTGGGGTGGCAGGGAGGAGCGAAGGAGAAGGGAAGTTTATTGGGGTGGCAAGGAGGGAAGCGAAGTATTATTGGGGTGGCAAGGAGGGAAGCGAAGGATGGGGTGGCAAGGAGGGAAGCGAAGAGGGGTGCAAGGAGGGAAGCGAAGTATTATTGGGGTGGCAAGGAGGGAAGCGAATTATTGGGGGTGGCAAGGAGGGAAGAGAAGTATTATTGGGGTGGCAAGGAGGGAAGCGAAGGAGGATATTATTGGGGTGGCAAGGAGGAAGCGAAGGATTATTGGGGTGGGAAGGAGGAAAGCGAAGGATTATTGGGGTGGCAAGGAGGGAAGAGAAGTATTATTGATTATTGGGGTGGCAAGGAGGGAAGCGAAGTATTATTGGGGTGGCAAGGAGGGAAAAGAAGGGGGTGGCAAGGAGGGAAGCGAAGTATTATTGGGGTGGCAAGGAGGGAAGCGAAGTATCATTGGGGTGGGAAGGAGGGAAGAGAAGTATTATTGGGGTGGCAAGGAGGGAAGCGAAGGATTATTGGGGTGGGAAGGAGGGAAGCGAAGTATATTGGGGCAAGGAGGGAAGAGAAGTATTATTGGGTGGCAGGGAGGGGAGGGAAGAGGGAAGCGAAGTATTATTGGGGTGGGAAGGAGGGAAGCGAAGTATTATTGGGGAAGGAGGGAAGCGAAGGATTATTGGGGTGGCAAGGGAGGGAAAGCGAAGGATTATTGGGGGTGGCAAGGAGGGAAGCGAAGTATTATTGGGGTGGCAAGGAGGGAAGCAAGTATTATTGGGGTGGCAAGGAGGGAAGCGAAGGATTATTGGGGTGGGAAGGAGGGAAGCGAAGTATTATTGGGGTGGCAAGGAGGGAAGAGAAGTATTATTGGGTGGCAAAGGAAGGAGGGAAGCGAAGTATTATTGGGGTGGGAAGGAGGGAAGCGAAGTATTATTGGGGTGGCAAGGAGGGAAGCGAAGGATTATTGGGGTGGCAAGGAGGGAAGCGAAGGATTATTGGGGTGGCGAAGGAGGGAAGCGAAGTATTATTGGGTGGGAAGGAGGGAAGCAAGTATTATTGGGGTGGCAGGAGGGAAGCGAAGGATTATTGGGGTGAAGCGAAGGAGGGAAGCGAAGTATATTGGGGTGGCAAGGAGGGAAGCGAAGTATTATTGGGGTGGAAGGAGGGAAGAGAAGTATTATTGGGGTGGCAAGGAGGGAAGCGAAGTATTATTGGGGTGGGAAGGAGGGAAGAGAAGTATTATTGGGGTGGCAAGGAGGGAAGCGAAGGATTATTGGAATTATTGGGGGTGGCTATTATTGGGGTGGGAAGGAGGGAAGAGAAGTATTATTGGGGTGGCAAGGAGGGAAGCGAAGGATTATTGGGGTGGGAAGGAGGGAAGCGAAGTATTATTGGAGGAGGGAAGAGAAGTATTATTGGGGGCTAAGGAGGGAAGCGAAGTATTATTGGGGTGGCAAGGAGGGAAGCGAAGTATTATTGGGGTGGCAAGGAGGGAAGCGAAGGATTATTGGGGCGGCAAGGAGGGAAGCGAAGTATTATTGGGGTGGGAAAGGAGGAAGCGAAGTATTATTGGGGTGGCGAAGGGAGGAGGGAAGCGAGCAAGGAGGAGGATTATTGGGGGTGGGAAGGAGGGAAAGCGAAGTATTATTGGGTTTATTGGGGTGGGAAGGAGGAAGCGAAGTATTATTGGGGTGGGAAGGAGGGAAGCGAAGGATTATTGGGGTGGCAGGAGGGAGGGAAGGAGGGAAGCGAAGTATCATTGGGGTGGCAAGGAGGGAAGCGAAGTATTATTGGGTGGGGAGGGAAGGAAGGAGGGAAGCGAAGTTATATTGGGGGTGGGCATATTATTGGGGGGGCAAGGAGGGAAGCGAAGGATTATTGGGTGGGAGGGGGAAGCGAAGTATTATTGGGTGGCGAGGAATTGGCAGGGGGGGAGCGAAGGAGGGAAGCGAAGTATATTGGGGTGGGAGGAGGAAGCGAAGTATTATTGGGGTGGCAAGAGGGAGGAAGCGAAAGTATTATTGGGGGGCAAGGAGGGAGCGAAAGGGGAAGCGAAAGGATTATGGGGGCAAGGAGGGAAAGCGAAGTATATTGGGTGCGGCAAGGAGGGAAAGCGGAAGTATTATTGGGTGGCAAGGAGGGAAGAGAAGGAGGGAAGCGAAGTATGGGGTGACAAGGAGGGAAGCGAAGTTATTATTGGGGGCAAGGAGGGAAGCGAAGGATTATTGGGGCGGAAGGAGTAAGTGGCTATTATTGGTGAAGGAGGAAGCGAAGTATTATTGTGGCAAGGAGCGAAGGAGGAAGCGAAGTATAGGGGGTGGGAA